AGAACTTTACCTATGGATGCAACTCAAGAAAAGCATAACCCAAGACAGAGATAGAGGAGGAGGCAGAGGAAGAAGAGGAGGGGAGGAAGAGGACCAGGATGACAAGGGTAGAATAAATGAATTAAAAAGAATGAAGAGGAGGAGGAGGAGGAGGGAAAGGAAAAAGGGAAGAACAGACAGAAAAAGAGGATACAAAAGGGACCAAGAAGAAGACTGGCAGTGTGTCTGCTTCTCCTCACAGCTATGTTCTCTCCATGGTTTAACTCTGAGTGCTTAGATAGACCCACGTTGCTCTTCCAGACATGAGAAGAGCAGTCAGTGCTTTGTGAACAGCTCCCCCAACGTACAGACTCAAAGACATTGTGGATATGCCTGGAAGCTTTGCCAGGATAGTCAGTGGCTGCGACAGCAGGTGGTCGATGCAGATCTGAGCAACAGTAGGCTGGGGTCCCCGAGGGGATGTCCTGGGACACATTCTGTGGAAATCAGAGTAACCACACTCATTTCTAGCACTGGCTTTATCAGTATTTTCCTGAAAACATTGCCTCTCCTCCCTGCAGTATGGTCTCTTCATCTATAAATTCAGCTACTGTAGTAGGGTTGGGTGAGACATGGTTAAACTGAATGTGGCAGGGGGAGGCGGTGGGAGCCCTGCTTACCTGCTTCCACCTTCACCCTGATCTACATTGGTCTCTCCCTATTTCCTCTTGTAACACCTAATAACAGTGTACAAAACTAATTTCCCACAGACCACTTTGGGAAGATTTGCTCTCATTCAGGAACTGGCAAACATCTCCTGAAAAGAACCAGATAGTAAATATTTGTGGTTTTGTGGGTGCAGTCGATGAACAGGTATGGTAGTGTTCCAATACAACTTTACTGACAAAAATAGGCAAGGTCACGGTTTGGTTTGAAGGTCATAATTTCCAACCTCTGAACTTCAACTGTCATTTGAAAGAGAGAAAACAGGACTAAAAAGAACACGGAGTTGGTCAAACATTCATGGCTCTGGGTAGAGCTGGGATGAGCCTCTCACCCTGCTGGCTCATATTCCTGGTTCTTTCCGCTCCACCCGGCACCTATTTTGACTGCAAGAGAGAAGCTCCTTCTTCACTGGCAAGCATTGGGGAGAATCAATTCCATTATTGCATTTGGTCTAACGGCAATCCTATTATATAGATTGGCCTCATTATTCATGTTCAAAACTAGAGAAACAAAGGCATCAGAGACTTTCCCCAGATAAATTAGGGCTAATTCTGGTAATAAGCGAAAGACATATTATTTCAGTTCCATTAACTCACCAGCAGACTGTATTACCTTCTATCCAAGGCACAGTGAAAACCAGTGATGACAATGCCGATAGCAGGAGATGAAATGCATTCAATCCTTCGTTTGGCCAACGCTAACTGAATACACACTGAGGGGCTTGCCTTGTGCTCAGTACCGTAAATGCACTGTGCCCACAGGAATCCCTGCTCAATTCAGAGGGAGAGCCTACGTGTGTTACAGTGCTGTCCCCTGGAGATGTCGCTTTCCTGTTCTCTGCCCACTGCCTGCAGGCTATATCTGAAGACATGCAGGAGGCCCGGGAGGATGGTTTCAATTGAGAGTCTTTTCCTGAAGATAAAGATGCTTTCCCATCAACTTTCTCAGTTGGTTTCATGATTTCTCCCATCAATTGGCTTCATGGTTCTCCAAGGGCTAAATGTTGTCCCGGTGAAGTGTGTATAAACCTGTCATTTCCTTTCTCACTTATTTTTCCAGACAGGTTTCCAATAAGACCCATGGCTGCATCCTTGGGCATTCCATGTGTTTCTAAAACCTTTCAGCACTAGGGAAGCTGACCTCAAGTCTTTGATCACTGGCTAATCTAGACTGTTGCCGGCAGATTCCATTCACTCCTAGTAGCCGACAGGGTGTAGCTGTACTCAGAGCCTCTCAGAGCATGCTTCTGAGGGTTCCAGCCTGTATTTCAGAAGCAGAGCACTGAGATCTTGAAATTGCATTCTGCTGCTTTTTAACTGTGTGAACTTGGGCTGGTGACTTAGCTCCCTCTGTGTTTCAAGACACTTATTCCTTAAGTGGGGATTATTACGGAGCTGTTGTGAGGATCAAATGAGATAATGCATGGGAAATCAATCATAAACCAGAAAGCATGACTCATATACTACATGTTAGAGCCCCACTTTCGAAACTCACACTTGCTGCTACACTAGTGTTTGTAAAGTACAGATCCAATTATGGACTACAGCAGAATCACCTGGAAAGCCTGTAAAACAATTTCTAGACCCCTTCCAGACCTACTAAAGGTGGATTCTGGAATTCTATTGTTTTAAAAATGCCCTCAAGGTGATTCTAAAGGAAATCAGGTGTGGCAGCACTGCCTTAATATATCCACAACCGTCTCTAGAACCATGTGGGGGCTCTAGAACCAATGGACTTGTGTGTGATGGTCTTGTCTCTCAAGGTGGGCTTATGGCTTTCAGGGTCCTTGTGCTGTATCTGGGAAATCTCTACAGCCTGATCATTGCTCTCCTGGACAAAGTTAATAGCATGAGCATTGAGGTGAGTGCCCATGCCAGATGGCTGCCTGCCCCACCTCTGCCCTCCCTGCTACCTCCTCCTGACACCAGGGTCATCATCGTGGACAGATCACTGCTTATACTTACAACAACTCTCGCTTTGTTGCCTAGGCTGGAGTGCAGTGGCACAATCACGGCTCACTGCAGCCTCAACCTCCCTGAGCTCAAGTGATACTCCCATCTCAGCCTTCAGAATATCTGGGACTACAGTCCCATACCACTGCGTCTGGCTAATTTTATGTATTTTTTTGTAGAGACAGGGTTTCACCATGTTGCTCAGGCTGGTCTCAAACTCCTGGGCTCAAGCGATTTCCCTGCCTCAGCCTCCCAAAGTGCTGGGATTACAGGTGTGAGCCATCACACCCAGCCTTGTGTCCACTTTCAACCTGCCCCACCTATAAGGATATCCTGAATGGTGGAGGAAAGGGAGGAAGAAAGAAGGTGCTCTTAGGTTGTTTGCCCAAGGCATACCACATCAACATCAAATTTCAAGGCCTATAGACAGACAAGGCCACGGAGAGTCGTTTTTCTGCATTGGAGCTTTGAGGTTATATAGACCTGGGTCCTTACCTGACACTTACTCGACTTCAAATCACTGAGTTTCAATCTTCTCATTTGAACATGCGGTAATAATCCTTATCTGAAGCTCTTGTGAGGTTAAGTAGAGTTAACATGTGTTGCCTAAAACAGTTTCTGACCCTTACTAGGAACAAACAAGTACTATGCATTATACCTCTGAGTTCCCTTCTTGGGGCCAACTCTAGTCAGGTGGCAAGACAGAGAGAGAGAGAGAGAGAGAGAGAGAGAGAGAGAGAGAGAGAGAGAGAGACAGAGAGAGACAGAGACAGAGAGAGAGAATGGTTACTCCATGATGGATTCTCATTTATAAATATGTGGACCAACTTTTTTCTTTCTCCCCTCCTTCACTCCCTCCCTCTCTCCCCAGGAAACGGCTCCCAAAAATAACACAAGTCATTGGATAGATTCCATCACCTTCTTTGCAACCAGGACAGCCCCTGAAGAAGGGAAATGGTCCACACCTCAGCCTGGAATGGAGCTCAGGAGAAACAGCACATGGGCCTTGGAAGAGACCAGCATTTCTGCCTATACCATGCCTCTTGCAAAGGCCAACAGGACCACTCTCTACACTCAGAACCCACAAGACCAGTGCTGGGAGACCTACGTCGGTCAGGTGATTCCCTTTACCCTTACAAAGCTCCCTCACATCCATCTCATCACCTAACCCCAGCAACTCTCTGAGCTGTCACTGCCTCTATTTTACAGAAAAAGAAAAGTTCAGTGAGGTTTAAGATTTTCTAAATTAAATTTTCTCAAAATTAAAAAAGAAAAATAATCAGTGCAAAGATTCAGGCAGTATTTACCACATGTTGGGGCCTGTGCTAAATGCTTGGTTCTTGTGAGTCCTATTACTGTCACCCTCATAGGCACAGATGAGGAAACTGAGGCACAAGTGGTCAAGTACTTGCCCAAGGACACAGACAGTAAAGAGCAGAATGCTGAACCCAGGCATCTGCTCCAAAATCTGTACCCTTAACCATGTTGTACAGAGAATCTCAACCCCAAGGTATTATCCCATGGAAATGAGTCACTGTCTACAAGTCTCCTGTAGCTCAGAACCACAGAGCTTAGATTCTTTCCTAGCTTCATGTGATGCTGGCGTCAGATACCAAACTTCAAAACTGAATCACCTAATATTTATTGAGCACCCATTATTTACCAGAAGCCCATCCCTCTGCCCACTGCACCTTATAAAGATGAGAAATGAAGATGCCATTGGAGGGGCCCACTGGCTGGGGCCCACAGCAATGAACAGAGATTAGGAGGACCTGAAGGAAGAGTGGCCGTGGGAGGGGTGGGTGTGGTGGCATCCAGGGACACCCTGTGTTTCAGGAGATGCTGAAGCTCTCCATCATTGACATGCTCTTCACCGTGGCAAGCATTCTGCTCATAGACTTCTTCCGAGGACTTTTCGTCCGGTATTTAAGTGACTGCTGGTGTTGGGATCTGGAAAGCAAGTTTGTAAGTAAAATGCTGTGTCTGTTGGGAAAGTTTATATGGCCAAATCCATCCTTTCTCATGCTGAGGCTGGGAAACAGTCCAGCATAGCTGAGGGGGACACTTGGGGCGAGAATACATGTGGGAAGGGGAGACGGGTACAGAAAGCTAAGCTTCTACTTCCTTGTTCTTTTTTTTTTTTTTTTTTTTTAGAGACAGGGTCTTGCTCTGCTACCCAGGCTGGAGTGCAGTGGTATGACCTTGGCTCACTGCAGCCTCAAAACTCCTGGGCTCAAGCAATCCTCCTGCCTTGGCCTCTCGAGTAGCTGGGACTATAGGCACATGCCACCACACCCAGCTAGTTTTAAAATTTTTTTTGTAGAGAGGGGGGTCTCACTATGTTGCCCAGGCTGGCCTCAAACTCCTGACTTCTAGTGTTCCTCCTGCCTCACCACCCCCCAGAGTGCTGGGATTACAGGCATAAACTACCACACCCAGCCTCACCTGCTTCTTAACATTTACCATTTGCTGGGATGGCCCCACAAGCACTGATCTCTAAGTGCTCATAAGAGCCAAGAAGTCTATCTATGTGACTGTAATGAATTGGTTCATGCAAAGAACTTTGGAACTTGTTTAATGTACAGTTTATTTTCTCTTGTAGCCTGAATATGGAGAATTCAAAATAGCTGAGAATGTGTTACATTTAGTCTACAACCAAGGAATGATTTGGTAGGTATCAAAGTTTCTTCTTGCCTTTCCTTATATCTCATCTGGGCTACGATTTTAATTTACTTAGACTGGATGGGACACGACCATAATAAACACAGTTATAAGCATTAAGAAAGGGTGTTTCCAAGAGAACTATTTCACATGTATATTAAATGTATTAGTGGTTTTCTAAGAATTTTACAGGAAGAAATTAAAAAGAAAATAGTCCATGTTTAAGTTACTATTGGTCATAGCCAAAAAAACATCTGCATAGAAGCCAGCAGAATACACTTGTAAGGAGGACTGGGGGAAGGCTGAGAGGAGAGGCTGCTTCTCCTTAGTAAGGACTTCAGGAGTGGCTGCTGGGGACCTTGGCCAATCTGCCCTTGCTCGCCACCCTCCCTCCATGGTCCTCCTAATTTTCACTTAGACACAGGGCCCACGAGCACAGCCATCCCCTAGACTGCAGACCCCTGCCTGGGGAGGTAGGAAGCTGGGAAGTCTGGTTACCCATGGCACCTCCCAGGCCATGGCAATTCGGTACCCGGAGACACTGAGGAGCTGGAGGGGTCCTCCCATCCCACCCACACATAGGTGTGTGTCTGTGGGCTGCAACAGAGAGCTCCTTAAATGACACCGCTATCTCTGGTTTCACCTGTTGGACCAGAAATAGCGTGATTTGTTAAAATACAAGCATCATGTCATTGATTTCCCCAGATCAGCCCTTCTTGTCTATCAACTGGATATTTACCTCTCCTTTCGCTATTGCAGAAGAGTGAACAAACTGAAATGTGTGAGGGTGCTCAGTGCCCTAACCAGCAAAAGTCGGTGCTCAATATATGTTGATTAAACATGAAAGTCAGTAATTTATTAATACAGTCCTCATCATCGGCAAGAAAAACCAGGAGCTAGCTCCAAACAGTAGTCATCCATTATTTGTCTCCTTCCCAAAGGAGGATTTTCCTTTGCTAAAGTGTTAAAAGAGAGACAAATGCTTAGTTGTCCTTTGCAAAGAGAATATTTTAAAATGGGATCAATATCCTTCAAGTCACGTTGAGTGACTTGTTTTATCTTTAGAAGGTGGAGGGGTTGTGGTCTCGGGACTTTAGGGGCATTTCCAATTCTTTAAGCATAGGGTGTAAACCCCAGTCTCAGAACCAGGTTCCTGCATGACGCTTCCACAGTCCTGGAAGATAGGCTGGGAGAGAACAGATGCACACTGACCTTCCTCATGGTTCCAGGATGGGGGCCTTCTTCTCCCCATGTCTCCCAGCATTCAACGTTCTCAAACTCATTGGGCTCATGTACCTGAGGAGCTGGGCTGTGCTGACCTGCAATGTGCCCCACCAGCAAGTATTTCGAGCCTCCAGGTGGGTAAGAATAAGATCTGATCATGCAGATAACTATCTCATCCACGCCTGCCTTACCCGGGGTCCTCCACCAAGGGGTTCCCCCAACTCTCTTCCTGTCAAAATCCTGCCTGTCCTCCAATTTTATCTCCTCCAAGAGCCATTTCCAATGCCTTACTCTTTCAATGAATCATTACTCCTCTTGAATTCATGACACAGTTTTTAAAAAACTTGTTGCTGAAGCTTAATAATCCTTTTAGAAAAAGTGCACAAATCATAAATGTTTAGCTTGATGAGTTTTCACAAACTGAACACAAGGAAGTCACATCAAAAAACAAAACACAAGTGGTACCCAGAGCACGCCCACTTGCATGGGATTCCAATCTCTGCCAACCTCTAATGGCATCATTAGGCTTGCCTGGCTTGTACTTGGTATAAACATAATCACACATGGTATGTGTTCTTTTGTGCCCAGCTGCTTCCACTCGACACTGTGTTTGTGAGATTCACCTTACTGAGGAAATACAGATCAATGTCTTTATCCTGGCTACTATTGACGGGCATCTAAGCTGCTTCCAGCTGTTAGCCTCATGAGTAATGCTGCCTTGAACATCCTTCACAGGGCATGCGTATGTTCACCCTTACGAAATAGTGCCAAAAAGTTTTCTAAAATGATCACCCCAGTTTACATGTCTGGTGGCATTATTTCCCAACACTTATTCTTTTATCTGTTTTAATTTTAGCCATTTGGTGAATTCATTACACACTCTAAATACTTTGCTGATTCAGTTATTTTACATTGACATAAATGGTTACATGTGTCCAAATCAGTGGCTTTCAAACTTTTTGCTGATGACGTACTTGACAATGCATTCACTTTTCATTTTTTAGATAGAGTCTCACTCTGTCGCCAGGCTGGAGGGCAGTGGTATAATCTCGGCTCACTGCAACCTCTGACTCCATGGTTCAAGCGATTCTCCTGCCTCAGCCTCCTGAGTAGTTGGGATTACAGGCATTTGCCACCACACCCAGCTAATTTTTATATTTTTAGTAGAGATGGGGTTTCACCATGTTGGCCAGGATGGTCTCAATCTCCTGACCTTGCGATCTGCCCTCCTCAGCCTCCCAAAGGGCTGGGATTACAGGTGTGAGCCACCGCTCCCAGCCTGCATTCACATTTTAGCTGGTAACTAGTACACATATATGCATACATTCAGAGATACATGTTTTGATATATTTATATATGTTGTATTTATGTGTATGTATATATATTATATGTGTGCATGTGTGTCTGTGGATAGAGAAAGAGGTTTCACAACTAATCACTCACTTTCTTACTACATTCTGTGCTCTCTGAAATTTTCTATTCTTTTCTAGTGAAGTCTTTTTTATGAGAGAGAGAGAGACAGCAGAGAGAGAGAGAGAGAGAGAGAGAGACCAACAGAGAGTACTAGTTGAAAGTAACGACACTAATTGACCCCTCATTCTCTTTTCTGAACTGTGTACAGGGCCTTGCACACCAAACAGGTTTAAGCCCCCCTCAGAGGAGCCCTGGACAGCCAAGCTCCCTGACACCGCTTAGGGCTCAGGGACAGGGACCAGGGCTTAATCAGGCAGCACACATAGCCTGTGCAGACACGTGCAGAGCAGGTAAGAGGCTGAGTGCTGCCAGGCGCGGTGGCTCAAGCCTGTAATCCCAGCACTTTGGGAGGCCAAGGTGGGTGGATCACGAGGTCAAGAGATCGAGACCATACTGGTCAACATGGTGAAACCCCGTCTCTACTAAAAATACAAAACATTAGCTGGGCATGGTGGCAGCTACTCAGGAGGCTGAGGCAGGAGAATTGCCTGAACCCAGGAGGTGGAGGTTGNGGTGAAACCCCGTCTCTACTAAAAATACAAAACATTAGCTGGGCATGGTGGCAGCTACTCAGGAGGCTGAGGCAGGAGAATTGCCTGAACCCAGGAGGTGGAGGTTGCGGTGAGCCGAGATCGCGCCATTGCACTCCAGCCTGGGTAACGAGAGTGAAACTCCGTCTCAAAAAAAAAAAAAAGAGGCTGAGTGCAAATCACACCCAAGTGAGAGAATCAGGAATCATAAACAAAAGAGCCAAACCATCCTGAGACATAAGAGACAAGTTCAAGGCTGGGAACAGGAGAGGGAACCATTAGGTAAGGACCCGGATGGGTGAGCAATGCTTTTAAGGTTTTTCCATAAATTGAGTTTACTGGGTGGAACTCCTGGGTGCCAGAGTGAGTTCACCACTTTCATGGTTTGAGCTAAACAGGTGCTCAGCAAATGTTTATCAGACAAACTGGTTGGGCGGGAGATCTCTGAAGTTCCTCTGAACACTGATTTCTAGGTTCCTAGGCTGCCTGTGACCGTACGACAGATTCATTGGTAGGTAGCCCTGAGAGGAGGATTTTTTAGTTTGCAAAGAGTCAGGGCAACCATTTCTGTGGCAGCTCTTTGGGCATATACAACCCTGGCAGCTGGCTATGGAGTGAACTTAACACATGGCATTCGATTTATCTGCAGATCCAACAATTTCTACTTGGCAATGCTCCTGTTTATGCTGTTTCTGTGCATGCTGCCAACCATTTTTGCTATTGTCCGATACAAGCCATCTCTAAACTGTGGGCCATTCAGGTAAATTATTTTCTTTCCTGGCTCTGCCCAGAGCGACTGAATGCTGTAGGGAAATAAATTGTATTGAACTGAATTCTCCTCCCGGCTCGCAGAGCAGGTAAACAGGATGGAAAGATTGCAAACCTGCATGTTTTAAATTCAAGACCAGTGTTCTTTCCTTAACACCAGGCTGCCCTTAGTATAACCATCTCTGTGCTCATGTTAAAAAATACAACCCTTTTAAAGTGAGAAGAGGCATTCTATCTGGTCAAAACAGAAAAGCTTTTATTAAAACACAGTGCACAGCACTTTTTTTCTATATTATCCAGCTGTTTCCCAGCAAAACCCTCTAGTATCTTCATCTAGCATTCAAGTCAGCGTTGACACAACATGTATGTAACATTTAGTCTATCTTAGTGCACACTATTACAACATACACTCACATGCAATGGGATGAATGACCCCATCTTCCATCCTCCATATTAATTGGCTATGAAATCATTTGAGGAATGTTATGAAGTGGCCTCTAGGCATCCAGCCATTTTTTGATGTCTTGCAGCGTCTTTCTGCCAAGAGCAATAAAATCTGGAGTTATGTTTTTCTTTCTCACAGTGGACAAGAGAAAATTTATGACATTGTGTCAGAAACGATTGAGAAGGACTTTCCAGCATGGTTTGGCTCCGTGATGGGGCACATCAGTAGCCCCGTGGTCATCCTGCCCGCGGTACTCCTGCTTTTGTGAGTACCACACCTGCCAGCCTTGGAGGGACTTCTGGGTGTTTGGCCAACAAGGGAACACTGCTTTCCAATAATTTTATAAAATGTAATAGTTCGTTCAAAAATCACTTAGGCTTAGAGCCTGATGATCAAACAGAGACTCTGAGTCACACACCAGAGTCACACGAGGCACTGTGCCGTGGAGACACAGCCACTGGGTCTCAGCAAGGGGCGAGGAGGGAGTACTCCATCACCATCCAGGTGGTTATGGATCCATCAACAGCATTCAGTCAATGACTGTGATCACTAGAATGGGGCTGAATGCCATTATTATCATCATCTCATTCTCCAGAAACTTAAATAATCCTGGAAAGGAGTTTCACAACTCAGCTAAGTATCTTTGGCTTGTTTTGGCTTAAAGGAAAAAAAGTAAAAGTGGGTGGATCCTGTACTCATAGCTTGATAGATGGCAAAATTTCTCCCCCATTTTCAGGTCTTCCTTACTGCTCTCACCAGTGCAGAATTCCAGGTCAATGAGGGTGCTGTGGAAAGCCAGGAAAAGAAAACAAAAGCAGCCCCTTCCCAGGGCTCAGCGGCTTGAGAATTTGCTGATGTATTTTATCCTTAGTGGAGGGTCAATGGGTAACCCGCCTCTGGCCTGGGAGCCTCTTATTCCTGCCAACTCCCTGCAGGGAATGTGGTCTGAAAGGTGGAAAGGCGAGTTGCAGTCCACTCACTCTCCTGTGTTGTTTTGTCCTAGCATGCTCATCTACTATCTCCAGAGCATCGCACGTTCTCTAAAGCTCAGCAACCACCAGCTCAAAATGCAGATCCAAAACGCAAGTATTCCACGACCTTTGCTATTCTGAATGTGTGTCAACCACGTGACTGAGATCTCGCCAGCATGGGGATACAAGTGAGGTCACATCTTCAAGGTTCTATGACTCTTGGCCACCCCCTGGTGCAAGGCCACCAATCCCCACATGCCTAAGGGTTATTTCTAAGAATACCCAAGGATGAAACACCATTGCTAGGAAGAAGCCTGCTTCTGTTTTTCCTCCTCCTCAAGGGGCTTTGCTGCTGCCTCAAGCCCTTCAGTGTCCCTCCCATGACCACACCAAGCCCTCAGTGTGCTGCCGCTTCTGTGAGTTCTGGCAAACTGCCAAGGGAGAGAAAGAGTCCCTTCCCAATCCTTGTCGACTTGGGCATCTAAGTCCAGCAGCACTGTTTGTCCCTAAAGCCTCAGCCCTTTCATATCCTTTAGATATGGCTGTCACTACCTTCTCTCTCCGTGGGGCTCAAACCCTATCTCCCAGAGCAGTCCGAGGGAGACATACACTCCCAACACTTCCGTAATTTCTCTCCTCCACATACCCCCGGTGCTCCCTTAGTGCCCTGAGTCCTCCAGACCCCCAGGAAGGGTCCCAGGACTGGGATGAGAACAGTGAGGCTCCCAAAGCACCACATTTAAGGAGGCTCTGTTAGCATCATGCTGACCCTGTCCTTTCTCAACCCTGAAAATAAGTGCCTCCTTAAATTTGGCACCCTAGATGCCTCACTGACCTCACCCCTGCAAAAAAAACTCCTTCCACTTCTATCAGTTTAAAAAAAAAAAAAAACCTCCCATGAATATCAATTCATGCAAAGAAACACAAATTAGCTTCTAATTCAAAATTCATTTGGAGTTACAATGGCCATTTTGGTGGAAAAACACATCTCCAGTGTTGTTGATCTATATTTTTTTCTTTGTGATTCAGACAAACTATTATAGGCAGAATCTAAACATGGTCTATTAGCTGTCCCTAAATAAAACTGGCTAGGCACAAAACTTCAGCTTTTAGGTATTTACATTTATTCCTTCAAATAACAGGCCCAAGCCCAGAGCACACTGTCCATAGGAGCAATAGTAGTCCAGTCATGGCCCAAAGTAAGAGCTAGGGCATATAAAAACATTAGCTGGGCGTAGTGGTGTACACCTGTGGTCCCAGCTACTCAGGAGGCTGAGTCAGGAGAATTGCTTGAACCCAGGAGGCAGAGGTTATGGTGAGCTGTGATCACGCCACTGCACTCCAGCCTGGGTGACAGAGCGAGACTCTGTCTTAAAAAAAGACCTAGGGCATGTAAATCTTTTTTTCCCCAGGAATATTTGTTACTGCTTCCTGCTAAATCCAAAACAAACATGCATGTCATTTGCATTTTAGGCAAGATCAGAGGATAAGAAAAAGGTTGCCCAGATGGTAGAAGGTAAGTATTTTTTTAAAATGCAGAGATCTGATGTTTCAGTTAGTGGGCATTTAAAAATATAGTCATTTAAGATAGTTTGCGGCACACTACCAATAAAAATTCCTGATAACCTGTGGTTTAAGCAATAAAATAAAATAAAATCTAGGGATATAAATGTTGCTTTAAATCTTCAATTTTTATATCATATGCAGGCCCATTAATAATTCCAAAACATGTGTAAAATTAGAAGGAAGTGTTGAAGTAGGAGAGGAAAAGCAGAACATTCATGTGGATGGAAGCCCAAAGAATCTCTTTGCCTCGTTCACTTTTGTGTACTTCTTCTCTGTGGCCCATCTCTTGCTTGCAATGTTCCCTCCCAGGTCCCTTCCCTGAGGTCTGGCCTCCTTAGGTTCTGTCCTGTCCCTGCGAAGCAGGGAGAATGGAAGCATGCAGTGTGGAAGTCTGGGATGGCTCAAAGGGAAGAAAGTGGCAAGGGGAGCTCAAAGGAGATGGATCTGTTTCTCGGGAGCATTAACAGAGTGCTGTGAGCCAGAAGGCTCACTGGGCACCATTAAAACGGCACAGCCTACAGAAATGAGAATGGGACCCAAAAGGGCTCTAGGGGCCAGCTCTCACAGCTGTTGTAACACTTCACTAATTGGAATGGACTGATTCCTCTCCAGAAAAATGCCTGAGCAAGAGCCCTAAGGCCTAAGGATTATGCTTGCTTGCTCCACCAGCTTTTCAGAGAGGGCCTATAATTGATAATTATTACCGAAAGTAGTTGTGGCTCATGCCATAAAGCGCCTCTGTAATTGTCATCGCTTATTTGCCAATTAAGCATAATTAAACTTAGTTCAGGTCACCTTCAAAAGCCAGAATCTGCATAGACTGTCTCAGAATAACAATAGCATTGCCCAATGTTCATTTTCCAGCTCAAGACCACATCTTTTTTCAAAATGCATGTGAACCATTTCCAAAGAATCATAATTGTGTGTAAGCTTTATTATCCTCATTGAATAGATAAGGAACTGGAGGCCCAAAGCTGCTAAGTACTTGCTTTGCCTCATGGGAAATCAGATGGAGCACTGTAAAGACATGTGTTCACTTGATTCCTCCTACACACCCAGCTCCAACTTTCAGGGATGAAATCATTTGAATTACAGAATATTTGTTGCCCACTGGTGAGGTGTACTTGTACATGCACTCAATCGTTTGCAGACCAACTCTTGGAAATCATAAAACTCTTGCAACTCAACCCACCTGACTTCTCACAAGTCCTCTCTCTCCCTGCAGCCCGGATCCAGACTCAGGAAGAAAGCACCAAGAAGCTTCCAAACGACAGTGATCTTACCAGCCAACTGTCCTCAGCGCACTCGGGCACACCCCAAAATAATGGCAACATGGTCCATTTCGACTCAGGAAGCAGCAAGAGTGGCAGGATAGAGACAGTTGCGCAGTCCATGCCCCAGAGCCCCAGGTCAGGGAACAGGGCTTCCAGCTCACCTCTCCCTGGGTTCTCCAACCCCAGGCTAGAGCATGAAACTAACAGGTGAGGCTCCACTGCAACACAGAAGAAACCCTTGAATATGAGAGATGTGAAGGCCTCAACAGCTTCAGAAGGCCAACACCATTAAATTCTAATTCTTCCAAAAGGCATGGGGTCAGGAGACTGTGACAGCTGGTACTGAGAAGAAATGGAGGTGGGGTGGGGGTGTCAGTTTGTCTAACAAGACAAATTCTTCCTCCTGGGCTATCTGCCATTTAACCTGTAAGCAAACCTTCCAGCCAACCTAGGATAAACATTTTTCTAGCCTAAGAAAATAACTATTTATTTTTTAGTTCCACACTGGCCACGTTATTGGCAATATCTTGCATATTTTAGCTGTAGTCTGGTCAAGTTATTGGCATGACCATTTATGCATTACATGGGGTCAAAGAAAGCAGTAGATCCCTGCTTACTTTAAAGGAGGTAGGACCCCTGGAAAGATGAAGGGGATAGACCTGTACTGGCCCAAACTCATATGGAAAATTATATTTGATCTGAATGTAGTACAGTGAAAGCAATATAGGTAAAATACAGGGGCTCTCATGTTTTTAAGCTAATGACTAAGTTAGCAAAGAACTTGAAGTCTTGTTATATGAGGAGTTGTCTGCATGTCTCTGTGGGGTCTTGACAGGGAGGGAGGATCCAAACACTCCTTGGGAGGCCGCTGGGGGGGTCAAACCAGAGCCACCATACAGATTCAAGTCTTTATCAGGAAGAACTTTTCTTTTTTTTTTTTTTTTTTTGAGACGGAATTTTCTCTTGTTGCCCAGGCTGGAGTGCAATGGCACGATCTCGGCTCACTGCAACCTCTGCCTCCTGGGTTCAGGCAATTCTCCTGCCTCAGCCTCCCAAGTAGCTGGGATTACAAGCACCCGCTGTATTTTTAGTAGACACAGGCTTTCACCATGTTGGCCAGGCTGGTCTTAAACTCCTGACCTCAGGTGATCCACCTGACTTGGCCTCCCAAAATGCTGGGATTACAAGCTTAAGCCACTGCACCTGGCCAGGGAACAACTGTTTAATATGTGTAACTCCCCTCTACCCACCAGTGGAAACTCAGAGAAGTGCTCGAGAAGCCAGACAGCTGTTTAGCAGAGAGGACGAGAAACTATGTTCCTAACATGTGCTTCACCGACACTAGTCCCACTCTGGGCCTCTTGACACAAAGAAGACTCCATGATGAAATGCACTAACACAGCACCCCTCACTCTGCACTTTCCATGGAGACTCATGATGCACATCACTGATTTAGGGTGCTGAAAATTCCAGCGGTAAAGCACACTGGTTAGCCCAGTCCCCCAAAAGGCTCTGTGCACACAATCCACAGAATACCCATTAATCATTTGGAACCAGACTCAGTGAAAATGCTCAGGGAACCACTCACAGCTCACAGTGGTCAGGTGTGGGGCTCTGAGACCACCAAGACCACAGCACTTAGCGGCCTCTGTGTTACAGGTATCCGCATGGTCTGTGTTCGAGCACCAGCGATCTTCACAAGAACAGATCGCGCACACCCACGACGTTTACAAAGCACATCGAAGATGTGCACTCAGAACCTCTCTTCCGAAAAGACTTTCAGCAAATCAAACCTCCTCACCGTGGACCAGGAGCCTCAACTTTGGTGGCACAGGGTCCCAGGCCCCACGCCCTCAGATACTATGTCATTAATGAACGTGACTCTCACAAAAGAAAACATCCACATGTCTGGCCAGAAAGACATTTCAAGATAGATGCTTCAGGTGACATTCTGGAGCTGTACCCCAGGAATGTGCGACAATATGCATCCCGGGTTCCCCGCCAGCCTCGCTCCCCACAGCTGAGTGAAGAGGAGGAGGAGACGCCGAGGAGGGACTGGATCAAACGGTCTCTTCCTCCATGCTCCCTGACGGACCTCCGTGGGGCTCCTCATTTTTATATTGGGGAGAGGTCCGAAAGTCAGACCCTGGCTCCCGAGCACCAGGGGAGGGTGCACTACAAGCCGTGGAAAGACGATTTTGAGGGTCACCTTGACAGGCCGACCTATGTGCCCAAAAAGCCACGCTGGCGGAATTTCCAATACCCACACCCCCCTCTGAAGCCCAGAGGGAAGCTCAGGTTCGAGCCATCCCTCACGGAATCTGACTCCGTGTCGGCGGCATCCAGCAGTGACCAGCAGAACAGCGGCGCTGACCAGTACCTGCAGGTCACCCACAGCCAGCGCAGGTTCCCGAGGTCGGGGGGCCAGCCCGGCAGGAGGAAGGCCACGTCGAGGCAGGAGCTGACCGTGGATCTGGACGACTTGATTTGTTCAAACGTCTAAGCTGCCTCCAGGGTCCGCTTCGCAGAGGTCAGGCCCCTGTGGGAGTGCTGGGCCAGCACATGGCATCTCCCTTGCTGGAAAAAGAGGTGAACACGTGTTAGAGACCCGAGGGGCACGGCCGCAGCTGCTGGCTGAGGTCCTGAGGCTGACGGCTGCAGCCACCTAGTCCACGGCTACCATTAGCCCAATCTATCCGAGTTAGGCGGCACCAAAGTGTGTTACCAGCAGCGAATCATCATGGTCTGCAGCTACCTCAGTCCTCGCCTCCTCAGAAGAAAGAAGTTGGCAGAAGAGCACAAGACAGAGGAAAGACAGGGGAGACTGAGGCACGTTTTGGGGCAGGCATGCAAGTTTACTGAAAAGCTTCAGAGCAGGAATGAAAGAACGTACACTTGGGAGAGGGCCAAGCGGGCGACTTGAAAGATGGAGTGCACTGTTTGACCTTTGACTTGGGGTATTACACGCTGGCTTTGCTTCCGGGGTCTTGTGTTACGTCTCCCCTGATTCTTCCCTTGGGCTGGGCTGTCCGCATGCGCAGTAGTGGCCTGCTAGCGCTTGGGAGGGGAGCATGCGCAGTGTGCTTAGTGGCGTTGTGCACATGCTCACTCGAGGTTCTTCCCTTACCAGTGGAAGGCGCCATATTGTCTTTTAGTGCGCGTGCTTGAACCCACTAGCTCAACTCCTGAGATCTTACCAGGAAGCTGCTGATTACCAGTTTCAGGTTTTTTCTATCTATTGGGAGACGGTCGTTCTCTGGTGCCAGCTGTGACCAATTATTATTTTAGAGAGACAATTAACAGCCACCTGACCGTCACCTGATGGTCGCCTGACATTCCTGGGGGTTGTCTGCTCACGTCTAACTGGCTACCCATAGTAACACCTCCACACATGAGCAGATTGTTTCCGTGGGGCTCTTTGCATCCAGAAGCACATCAGGCCATCATTTCAATGAAACTCAGTGCTTTGCCTTCTTTTGGGTTGACCACAAATCATAGGCAAGCCAGATATCTCATTCTGCCTCCTGAAGCCTCACCTGAGCTATCTGAATGAGATGCGTGAACTGTTCTCCTTCAACAGACAAAAGTCATCTTCTCTAATAAGCACCCCAAATTAGATGCCACCCTTAACGATATTACAATGCTTAGTTTGTAGGAATAATCAGTTTAGTAAAGACAAGAGTAACTACATTTATGGAGAACTGATTTTACTCTACTTACTGGGCAGTATGTCTGTATTAATGAGTCAGGACACTGAGATTGGAAGTAATGCATGATTTATCCGTAAGGTTTACTGGTTTGCTTAACTGGGAAAAATGAGAATCAAGCCAGCCTTAGGCCCAGCTGGAGCCAGGGCATTAGAGCACCCTCAGGAATCTGTTTTCACCTCTCTGCTCTATTTCTATGTTTGTTGACCTCATTTTCTCCTACGGCCAACAGACTTCCTCCTTGTAGTCAGTGGAGAAGGAATTCAGTCACAGAAAATGCCAGATTTACACCATCCAGCCAATAAGCCCAGAGGGAAGAACAGTGCTGTCTCTCCCGTGGCCCCTGCCACCTTCACAGTATCTTCACCTTTATGGGCTGATGCCCTTGGATCCTTCTATGGGCATTCTGCAGGGTTTGGGTAGCAGTGTGTTCAATCCACCATGGTTAATCAGGAGCACACCCTGATTCAAACTTCCATAACTCTTTTCACTCTAAATTGTAATTGTGTCTTTTAAATATTTGTCTCCTGCACCAGATTGTGTATCTGGAGCAAGAATGGTGGTGTATTCATTCTGCATCCTCAGTAACTGACGCTTAGGTATTGTATTCGTTTTCTATTACCGCATAACAAATTTAGTAGGCTTAAAAGAATGCAGACTTAGCATCAGTTTCCATGGATCAGGAGTCCAGGCCCAGATTAGGTAGGTCCTGAGCTCCGAGTTTCACCAGGCTATCATCCAGGTGTCCACCAAAGCTGGCATCCCATTATTGTTGGCAGAATTCATTTCTTTGAGGTCCTAGGACCAAAGCCCTCCACTCCTAGAGGCTTCCTGCATTTCCCTGCCACAAGGCCTTCTCCACAACATGGCTGTTTGCATCTTCAAAGCCAGAAAGAGAGTGTTCAGCTTTGAATCTCTTTCCTTCCAGAGAAGGCCTGAACCCACTTTTTAAAAGGGTCCACCTGATTAGGCCAGGCCCACCCCAATACTCTCTTTTGATTCACTCTAACTGAGCGGAGATCTTAATTACATCTTCAAAATCACTTCACTTTTACTGTCTCTGGGAGTAAAATCTCATCATATACACGAGTCCCAGCATACTAAAGGGAAGATTATATAGGGCATGTACACCAGGGAGCAGCAGTCTTGGAGGCCGACCATAGATAATAAACATCTGTTGAATGTGAATGGGTGAACAAATAAAGGAATGAACTGTCCTAATGAATCACAACTGGCTTGGTCACAGGGTTATATTCCAAGATTTATTACCAATTCTAAACAGAAAGTCCAGTATAAATACCACCATTTTAAAAGTACACACAGATTAACACCTCTCCTGAAATTTAGGAAAAGGAATGGGCATATTTTCAAATATTTTGTCATGACAAATCCAAGAGGTTGCAGTCTGCTCAAGATTCAGTGTTCCACAAGGCCATGGAAATGTGTTTTTGGGATAGAGGTGCTCATGGGAGGTTCATGATGATGGTCCTCTCTTCCAGGTGCTTGGTCTGGGACTGTGGCCTCAAGCTCCTTGGGACATTAAAACATATTTTGGAAAAGCCTGACCTTTCCTTCAGACACCTGTGGGAGCACCACTGTCTGGGTGGGAGTGGGGAGGTGCTTCTTTAGGACTGAGGACAAGCAGGTCCTGAGACATTCCTAAGAAAATTTGAGAGTTGCCAAATACACGCAGGGTTGAAAGCATGAGTATCACTTTCCAATGCACAACACAGCTCACATGCACTCTAGCACTTACTGTTGGGTTAGGTCTTGAATTTAAACAAGTTTAAAAGACATAGAGCAGTGCAAAGTCTACTACTGTGACAAGCGTCAATATTCCTACTGTGAGGGTCAACAACAGTCAAGATTGAAATTTTATTTCCATTTAGTCATTTTGTTATTATTAACAGAAAATATCAGATACAGTCAAAGCCCACTCTAATCCCCACACAAAGTCTCATTCCCTTCACACTAGCAAGAGTTTGGAGTACATCCATTGATTGATTGTTTATAGCTTTATGTATTCTGTGTGTAAGTATATATGTACAAGCATCCATAAACAATATGTAAGCACATCTTAAGTAAACACTATCATACTGCACGTATTATTGCACATATTTATGTTTTTTAGCTCTAGCAAAAAAATATAGATCAAACTCATTCATTATAACTGTGGCACAGTATTTCATCATATGAATAAACTACATATTGATCCGTTTTTTTAACTGATGGACATTGAAATCATTTCCACTTCTTTGCTGCTGAAAATAAAGTTGCACTAAACATCTTTTATATGTCTGTCTTCATGTATCTTCTTGGCACACACATGTACCAGTGCTTACTTAGAAGTGAGTATCGGTCCTCCTAAAAGAGAAATCCATAGCTCATAAGAGATGAGCATGTTCGTTTTCACTAACAGCTCCTTTATTAATCCTCACGAATCCAAACGTCTGTGCACACTTCCTCCAGATTATGAGGGGGCTATTTCCTTATAGCCTCACCAATGCCTTATAGCGTCACACTATATCATTTTTGCCAATCTAATGAAAAAATTATACCCGCTTAATTAACTTGCATTTGTGATTATCATCTCTCCCTAAGTCAACTGGTCATTTGCATTTCCTCTTCTGTGAACCGATTGCCTATTCAACACCTTTGCTCATTTTTCTACAGACATCAACAACCATGGCTGTGAAAAGGAGCTCATAAAGCTCCCGACAAAAGCACCACATGCTAATCAGTTATCCCTTTCCCTTCCCTGAACTCTAGCTGTTGTCTTAAGTTGCAGTAACAGAAAGCTACAAACCTGTGAAAATGCCTTTGCATAGCTGTGGTTTCACAACATTGCTTTGTATTTTAGTAACAGTCCATGGGGGTGTACATTTCTGCCTTTGGTCAAACTATTATTGAGGACATGATCCACAGCATTATTAAAATCTCTCCTAACAACACCTACATAACAAGCTCTTCTTAAGTCTCAGAGATCAGACTGTTGTATCCATTAAAGAGTGAATTCCTTTTGAGGAGAGTAGCTCGGTAAATATCTTAGCAACCTCAGGATGCTTCCTTTAGTCACTCCTTTTGTCTCAGAATTTATGAGTGTCAGGAAATTTAGAGTAAAGTTTTCTGCACATCTCTAAAAGACTAACTTCCTTAGTAGCGCGATCTCGGCTCACTGCAACCTCCGCCTCTCGGGTTCAGGCAATTCTCCTGCCTCAGCCTCCCGAGTAGCTGGGACTACAGGTGTGTGCCACCATGCCCAGCTAATTTTTGTATTTTTAGTAGATATGGGGTTTCACCACGTTGGCCAGGGTGGTCTCGATCTCTTGACCTCGTGATCCGCCCGCCTCGGCCTCCCAAAGTGCTGGGATTACTAGGCGTGAGCCCAGCGCCAGGCCTAGCATATTACCTCTAATGCAAATCGCACCACCGTCCCGCAGGCTGAAAGACTCGGTGCACTCAGGACAAGAGTCCCCGCTTCTTAAACAAACAGTCGACCTCGTCCGCGACCTGACCCGGCCCGACGGGTCTCAGCCGTAGTCCCGGCGCTCCAGAGCCCCTCCCGCAGCGGGCAGGAACCAGGCGGATACGGCAGGACCTTACCAGGCGCGCCCACGGCGTCCGAGACCCGCCCAGGCGCGCCCACGGCGTCCGAGACCCGCCCAGACGCTGACGCAAACCGGAGAGCCAGGCCCGGCAGTCTCTGGTCCTGCCAATCTCAGGGAGTGGCGGGATCCGTCTGAGGGCCTGGACCAATTCGGGAGCGGGGGCGGGGCAGGAGGCGGGACTATAACCTCTCTCGGAGCGCGAGCTTCCAGGCTCCCCGGATCCAGCGCGGCCGCTTCTTACACCCGCGACCCCGCAGCCAAACGCAGCTTTCGGCGCCATGGACCCGGCGCTGGCCGCCCAGATGAGCGAGGCTGTGGCCGAGAAGATGCTCCAGTACAGGCGAGACACAGCAGGCTGGAAGATTTGCCGGGAAGGCGTGAGTGAGGAGCTGGGCGGGAAGGGGTCGCGGAGACTGCTTCGTGGGGCCCGGGTCCCCAGAAGCCCCCAACCTCCTCTTCTCCCCGTTGTTTTCTGCACCCCAATCCCCTGGACCCGACTGAAAGGGATTCCAATGGGGAATGCTTTTTTTTTTTTTTTTTTTTTCAAAAAAAGATTGGGCCTGTTAGGCTCACAGTGACCTCAGGTGGTAAGTATCTATTCCTTTGACTCAGTGACTTGCCCAAGGTCAAAACTGGCTGATGAATGGTGTTTAGGACTGGAACCCGGAACACCTGCCTCTAAAGCCTTTACCTTGTTCATTACAGCACGAGCCCCTCTCTTTGTCCATGCCAGAGCACGGGAGTAGTTTTGCTTACTTGACACCTCTGACTTTTAACAAGTAGCCCTGGGTTGCTCAAGGAAACAAAATGCATGGTGGCTTTTAAGAGAATTTGAAAACCACCCACGGCTCTTGAAATCAGCCAGTTAAGATCTTTTTCTTCATTGCGTTCTGCTGTGGGGTCAGCTTTGCCCAGGATTAGTTACAGCTTTTCCACGTGTGGGTTGCGCAGCCTTGGAGTCGAATCTTTTGAGGCCTCTGAGCCCTCTTCTGTAGAACAGGGGACTAAGCCAGGTGACCAGAGCCCTTCTAGCTCTAAAATTCTGTGGTTCTGTGCCTTTTGACAGAATGGAGTTTCAGTTTCCTGGAGGCCATCTGTGGAGTTTCCAGGGAACCTGTAAGTGCATGCCTCGTTCAAAGCTTACCAGAGATGCCGCAGCCTTCCTGGTATCTTTATGGGTTTGCCTCCTAAAATATTCAAATCAACCCTTCAACCCTGTGATCAATTGTCCTCCAGAAGTCTTACTGTTTCTAATGAAATCACTTCCAGCAAAGCGTATTCTTGTGAAAATTTAATGTCCATTTCTGAAGGCCAGAAGGGAGGTGGGGCTAATAAGTTTCAGTCTCTTCCCTGCAAGCCTGTCCTAAAGAGCAGTGACAGACTTCTAGTGCTTACATGCTATCCCAACATAAACAAGTTTATTGATGCTTTGGGGTGTAATTCCTTTTTGTGCTCCAGGTACCGAGGAGAAGGCATTGTATTTGGGACACCAGAGGAGGTGTGGGACTGTGTGAAGCCGGCTGTTGGGGGCCTGCGAGTGAAGTGGGATGAGAATGTGAATGGTTTTGAAATTATCGAAAGCATCACTGATGTAAGTCTTTCCAAGCATGTTATCTCTAGATAGCGTCTGGGCCCTGCTACGGTAACCACCTCCCATTTCTTCTGGAAGGGTGCATGATACAATAACCTCCTCCCATTTCTTCTGCAAGGGTCCATGATACAATAACCTCCTCCCATTTCTTCTGGAAGGGTCCATGATACAATAACCTCCTCCCATTTCTTCTGGAAGGGGTCCATGATACCTTTTGGCAAGGAGGTATGTGCTGCAAACACAGGCTGCCCACTGCTTGCAGCTTTGGAGACCTGCCTCAGCCCAGGTGTAGGTGGGAAACCTCATGACTCGGAGGCAGAGAAGCCATAAACAGAGCCAAAATGAGATGACAGCAGCAGTGAATGAAGATGTGTCAAGTGCACATGGGCTCTGAGGGTACTGAGGTGGTGCCTGGATTCAGCCTGTCAGCTCTCGTTTGAAATGCTGCCCCTTGATGGTGACATAAGAATGAATTGAGAGAGCCCCGGTGGGGGAGTCAGGGTTCTTTGCCAGCTGGGGGTTGTTATAGGTGGCAGTTTCTGGATTAGTTTCTTCGCTGGCAAAATGTGTGTCAGCTGGACTAGCCCTGTCCAGAACTTTCTGATGGTGGCCACAGAGCATTTGAAGGTGGCTAGTTTAAGGACATGAATTGTTTTGTTTAATTTTAATTAGACTAAATGTAGATTTAAATAGCCACGTGGAGCTGTCAGCTACTGTATTAGGCAGTATGGATCTAAATGAGCCTGCCCTGGTGGTGGTCTCTGTAGCTTTACGATCCCCACCTCATGTTGATTACAGAAGTTCGTATGAAAAAAAAGTCATAGCCAAAACTAATGAGAAAGTTACCTTGGGGAAAAGTTGCTGACCTGTTCAGTTTGAATGGTGTCTTGATTTTGACATCTGTGGACTAGCACCCTCTGGGGTGTTCACGGAGATTGTGTTGTGAAACCCCATGCAACTGACGAACCCAAATCTGAATCTGTAAGAGCCAGGTGTTCTTACCCTTGACCAAGAATTCACATTTCGGTTCATTCCCAGTTGATTATCCCAGGAGTTTATGTCACTGTTTCCTGAAGAATGAGTCACATATCTCTGGGACATCAAAGGTGAGTTTAGGTCCTTAGTGGTCAAAGCTGACATTGAATCACTTAGTGAGGAGACTTCGGTGTTTCAGTCCTTCTTTAATCTCTGATAATTTGAAGGGGAGAGTCTCAGGTGCTGATAATCCTTTGTCACCTGATTAACACTTGCTAATCTCGTTTATATAAAATAGGCAGCTGGCCTCAGGCTCAAAATTAGAATCTAATAATCATCGTGTAGATATTTTGCAGTTGCCTTTAATTTACGGCAAGTGATACACTTTTTTTCATTTCTGTAAATAGCTTCACGTTAAAACCAACTTATCTATAAGTTGTAAAAAAGTGAGCCCATTTAGAGAACAGTATTAAGTGAACAACAGGATAGGGGGATACTGGAGAGAGTAACAAAAAAGGAGGTAGTATGCAAATAATTATACACAAATGATTGAAGTTGAGGAAACATGGGTTAATGCCCTTAAAAATGCAGTAACAAGACTGTATGCAGAACTTTCTGCTTGAACTTAAAAATGGCTACTTTTTTTTTTTTTTTTTTGAGACAGAGTCTTACTCTTGTTGCCCAGGCTGGAGTGCAGTGTGTGATCTTGGCTCACTGCAACCTCTGCCTTCTGGGTTCAAGAGACTCTCCTGCCTCAGCCTCCTGAGTAGCTGGGACTACAGGTGCTAATTTTTTTTTTTTTTTTGTATTTTTAGTAGAGATAGGGTTTCCCCATGCTGGCCAGGCTGGTCTCGAACTCCTGACCTCACAGGTGATCTGCCCACTTCGGCCTCCCAAAGTGCTGGGATTACAGGCGTGAGCCACCTTGCTGGGCCAACTGCCTACATCTTTTTTTAGTATGTTTACACTAGTCTCGACACAGTGGCTGGGGGGCCATGAAAGAGAATGAAAGACTAGAAAGTAACATGATACCTGAGCTATCATAGTAATGATTAAATGATAAGCACTGTCATTTACGGAGTCCTTATACTGTGTTCCAAGTTTGGAGCCCTGCAACTGAAACCCTGAAGGAAGGTAACAGTTTGGCAGGTAAAGAGCTGTACCAGATGTGCCCAGGCTCACAAGGTAACACGTGCCAGAGCAGGAGTTGAGAGCCAGCTGGTGACCAACTCTCTAGACTCCCATGCTTGGAGGTGCCACCTCTGCCTTCACCCCAGCTTAATTTCTGGGTCCTTGTGACCTGATTGCTCAGAGGCTCCACAAGACAAGTGATATGGTTTCATCATTGTTACTTTGCAGCCACTTCCCGTTCCCCGGGTTGGCAGGACCACAGAGAAGTGGGTGTTCGCCTGTGCTAAATTCTACTTAGTGCCAGCTGAGCTTGCCCTTTTCATCAGTTTGCCTGTGGGATTGGGTCGGTGAAGCTGGTAGGCTCTCCCTCCTTCTCTGGGCACCCTGATTTGTCTTTGGGGGAGCGTGCCTGTTCATTGTGTGGGGCTGCTGCACTAGACGACCCAGGACCCTTAGCCCCTGGCACCCACTTCCCTGAAGCCTGGACCAGTAGCAGCCCCATGTACTTGCCTGACTCCAGTTTTCTCTGGTATGAGGGTCTTCACCCTTTTTGCTTACATACTTCGACAGATTTTTGAGAAATTATACATCATCCTCAGACATCTAGTTGACACTTATTAATAACATTTGGTTGACAACTAAATTTTCATAAGTTGCAAAGTGTGTCATTTTTGACATGCAGTAAATCTCAATTTTGAACAAAGAAACTATTTTTGTAGATGTATCTAAATATATACATTTTTATTTACTGTTATCCATTTTTAAAATAAGCAACATTTTTTAAATAGTCAGAAATTGTGTATAACTGTTTTCCTGGAACTCAAATTTCCGTTCCATGTAGCCCTCTGAATTTCACCCTAATATAATACATGTTTGTTCTTGGAAGTCATCATCTTGCATCATAAATATGCATAGAGATGGAAATTTTTAAAATTATGTATTTCCTGTAATCATGAGACTAATTATCTTTTAAAAAATCTGAATTGAGGTATGAGTGTAATTCATTTAAATAACATGATTATATTATAAATTCTGATATGTGAAAAGTAAAACATTTTGCATCTTTGGATAAGATGAATGGGAGCTCATTTTTCTAGCTAACTCATAAGTCCATGAAAAGATGAACTTTTCAATAGACAGCTGCAAAGTAGAGGGGAAGCACAGGCTATTGGTGAGCTCAGGTTTACAAAAAAGCGGAGAATTGCCAAGTAATAGCCCTTTATCATTTAGTGAAGCAATGAAAATGTGGAGAAAGGGCTCTTCCTTAGAGATTGGCATTTCTCAGCATGATTTTGGCAACTCCCAAATATCCTAATTATAAAATAGATAGATGATGGATAGCTAGATGGATGGATGGATAGGACACAGGGCCGTGCCATGAGTGTGTTGCGTTTATGACATGTGCTACTGTTGTCTTCAAAATTTGTTTCCAAAGTCCTTCTCACCTTGGTTTCCAGATACTGTACCTCAGGAATGATGCATTTGGGGACAGTCATCAGAGGTGGAAACAGTATAATTTTTTTTTTCAAATTTTTCATCACTTCTACCATTACTGTTACAAAATATCAGAATATAGAAATGGCAAAATTGCCTTGTTTCTGACACCAACTTTTGGAATATGCTTAAGAAAGGGGAAAACATGAAATTCTAACACCAGAGTGTAGTGCCTTGATTAAATATTGCAGCCAGCACTCCCCATTGTCCCTTTGCCACCCTGGAGGATTTTATGCGGTGGGACAATTCATGGTAGGATGATTCTGGATGAATGGGGCTGTGCTGTGCTTTTCTTCAAGTGGGAAAGGAGCCCTGCGTTCAGGTGTAGCCTGTTCCCAGGCAGGTCACTGGGGGAAACATGAAGGAAACATACAGTAGAGTCATCTGGAAATCCATTCCCATTGCACCCATTGAAAAGTGCTCAAGGGCCCCCAGGGATCTCATGCTCACTTGAAGATGAATTTCCTGAGGCCAAAAGTGTCCTTTCTGAAAGGTTTCTCAGCAACACGTGGTGCCCCAAGTCTTAATACCTGAGGGGAAAGGCGAAGAGATGGAGATCTTTACCATCCCTCTCACCTACCCTGAGACCTCCCCCAGGACAGTGCCATTGCTGGCCTAGGTTGTACTTTTCCATCGTGACCTCAAGAGAGCCTGGGCCCCACTCTCCTGCAGGATGGGATGAATGGGAGAAAGCCCAGCATCCTTGGTTTATAAAATGGGAGTGTGAACTGCTGGGGTATGCTGAGATTGAGTGAGTTTCAAGGTATTCCCTCCCAGGGTTGGGACCGTGGTGAATTGAACAGTTGCTCCAGGCATAGCATAGGAGGCTGAGCAAGTGCAGGGTTAGCTCTGAAAAGGAGTGGCCTCTCTTGCCTCTTCCTAGCCCTGGCCCTGTTCAAATCCCATCTCCACCATGAGCTTCGTGCTAAGTTCCTTAGTCTCTCCAAGTCTGTTTCCTCACCAGTAGGAAGGATTAATGATACCTATTTTCTTTTGTTTTCTTTTTTTCTTTTTTTTGAGACAGAGTCTTGCTCTTTCGCCCAGGCTGGAGTACAATAGCACGATCTCAGCTTACTACACCCTCTGCTTCCCAGGTTCCAGTGACTCTCCTGCCTCAGCCTCCTGGGCAGCTGCGGTTACAGGTGCACGCCACCGTGCCCAGCTAATTTTTTTGTTTTTAGTAGAGACAGTTTTGCCATGTTGGCCAGACTGCTCTCAAACTCCTGACCTCAGGTGATCCACCCACCTCAGGCTCCTAAAGTGCTAGGAAGACAGGCGTGAGCCACCATGCCCAGCCTAATGATAGCTATTTCTAAAGGTTAAGGGACAACTGAGAGCTTTGTCCAGCCAGACTCTTACTAGGTGCTCAATAAATGGCACCTCTTATGGTCACTTGTGAGACATGACCTCGGCATGGCACTGGTCTGCAGCTAGATAGCTGTGGGCAGCCTGTGTCACAGCTCTCGTCTTGTAAACTGGGTATATTTCCATGACACTCAGCTCCTGGGAAGACTTGATCTGGATCTTAACTGTTTATAATGCCTGGAATACGGACAGTCCTGGTACCTTTCCCAGACCTTGAGGGGGTGAGGTGGGAGTTGGGAGATGTCTGGCCAGCAGTCACAGCTGCGTGCTCCTTACTGTTATTTATAGTGCCTGTACTACTGACAGTGACAGTGCCTACTGTCAATCCTGATACCTTTCCCAGCCCTTGAGGGGGTGGGGTGGGAGTTGGAGAAAATGTCAGGCCAGCAGTCACAGCTGCATGCTTCTCTGGTTTGGCAGACCCTGTGCGTAAGCAGAACTTCCACCCCCTCGGCTGCCATGAAGCTCATTTCTCCTAGAGACTTTGTGGACTTGGTGCTAATCAAGAGATATGAGGATGGGACCATCAGTTCCAATGGTGAGTGATGCCCAGAGGAGCTGCCACACCTTCCCGTGATGCTGGGTTTTCTCTTCTGCACCCTTCAGTTCCTCAAGGAAAGCCAAGCAACCAGAAGTCACCAGAAATTCACACTCTGAGTCCCCTACCTCGCCTGGTCGGGTTTGGGAGGATTCAGGGCCATGGGGGTCTGAGGCAAGACAGTCCACATGCCAGTAATTTTATTAAGTCACGGTTTTGCCAGTGCCCCTTTTTATTTCTGCGATGCTCATGGTGTGTGCTGTAGACATGTGGGTTGTTGGACGGCAAACAACCTGTGCAGAATCTAGGGCTGTGTCGTCTTGAGGGTTTTGGTGCTGTCCACTCCCTTAACACCCAGCGAGGGGCAGAACTCCTGCCTCTGCACAGCCCCTACTATTCCTCCAATTCTTCTACGTGGGAGAGTTGGTGGATGCATCCATGCCTCTCCTGGATGAGATCTGAGAGAGGCACCTACCTCCTCCCACTGCCAGACCTTGTGTTCTAGAATGTTCTTTTCTCTGACACTTGGCAAACTTGAGAAAGCTGTGTGCATGTTTATGCATGAATGTGTATGAATATGCGTGAGTGCAAGTGTGTGTGCATGTGTGAATTTGTGTACACGCATGCAAGTGTATTTGTGTGCGTGAGTGTAAAGGGCAGTAGGGTGGGAGTAGTGGGAACTTGGGCCAAGAGGCAGGAGTCCCTCACGGACTCCCGGGCTGCAGGTAGTCACTTCTTTGTGCTCTATGGCACCCGAGGGGCGGTGGCCCGTCTGAAGTTGTAACTCGCCGTCTGCACTGTCTTCCAGCCAGCCATGTGGAACATCCGTTATGCCCCCCGAAGCCAGGCTTTGTGAGAGGATTTAACCATCCTTGTGGTTGCTTCTGTGAACCTCTTCCAGGGTAAGGTTAATTTCCTGCATTGAGGTACATGGCTCGGATCTGACTGTGGCTTCCCTGTGGACCTTCTGTGTAAAGGAGCACTTTGATCATGATTCATTAGAAGAAAAATGCCTTACAGCTCTTTAGATTGTGACAATACAAAATGCTTTCACACACGTCTGTGACATCATACATGAAAGTACCTGGTACACGGGTAAGAATTGAGGGGGGCATTACTGTTATTATTTTTGATGCAGAAAATTTTCCCTGCAGCCTCCAGCTTAGGTCAATGTCATGGTCCATTTAGCAAATGAGGACATTGAGGTTTGGGGAGGTTAAGTGATGTGTGTGGAGTCAAAGGCTAGGAGGTTGGCAGGGCAGGACCTGTGCTCTGAGACCTCCCTGAGCACCCCCAGCCAGCCAGGAGCAGCTTTGAGGATAGCTGTCCCCACCCCACATTTCACACAGCGATCATTTCTCTTCAGTGACAAATGTGGCAGCGCTCAGGCCTAATGGGCAGTGCTGAGACCACACTGTAATCAGCCTCAGAATCAAGCCCAGGCACCCTCTGTTCCCATTTTGCCACAGGTCATGGTCAGGCTCTTACCAGGAATTTTCCATGTAATGAATTACCTGAAGGTTTCTAGTTTATCCTGCAAGTTGACAGCAAAATAAATTGCGCCTCGCAGGTGTGTCTCAGTGTTCCCTGCATTCTCCGTATGGATGCCTGGAGGGAAGGGGTCTGGGCCTCGACCACATTGTCCCGGGAGGGTGGACCTTGGTGCTATGGGATTTTACCAAATCCAGACCTAGCACGGTTATGTTACCCTCTTTGCTAAGCTGGCTTTTCAGATATCATGTGAGGTCTTTTCTTAGACGTAACAAAATTTTGAGCTTGAAAATAGCACAGTGTGCCCTACCACATGCATATACACACGTGCGTTCAGTTTCAGTTTCCCCGATAGGTAGGTGCCCTGGATCCCTGCCCTGAGCTCATTCCCTTGTCCTCTCCCTCCTTAGTCAGAAGCTAAGATTCACCTTTCAATGGTGCCAGGTCTGACGGAGAGGAATTTTCAGAATAAGAGGCAGAGCCCTTTCTTCTTAGGGGCTGAATCCCATTGCTGTCTTCTTTTGGGTGGAATCCTTCATGCCAGGTAGCAAAGGTATCACATGGATTCTGTTTTTTGTTTTTTGTTTTTGTTTTTTTTTTGAGACACAGTTTTGCTGTCACCCAGGCTGGAGTGCAGTGGCGTAATCTCGACTCACTGCAACCTCTGCCTCCCAGGCTTAAGCAATTCTCCTGCCTCAGCCACCCAAGTAGCTGGGATTACAGGTACCTGCCACCATACCTGGCAAATTTTTTGGTATTTTTAGTAGATCCAGGGTTCCACCATGTTGGCCAGGCTGGTCTCAAACTCCTGACCTCAAATGATCCCCCTGCCATGGCCTCCCATATTGCTGTGATTACAAGTGTGAGCCACCCTGCCTGGCCTGATTGCATGGATTTTGCTGATAGGGTGGTTGGGGATCCCACAAAACCCTGCCAGTGTGAGGGTTTTAACTCAAGAGTTGACTCTTCCAACTCCTGTCCACTTGATTAAAAACATTGTGTGTTCTTAGTAAAGCTTCCCTTCCAGAGCCTGCTGCATGCAGCTATTCTCATGAGGCTGTGGATCTGAAATCTGTGACAATGACGATTCACTCCTATTCTGTGAAGATAGACCTGTTCTGCACACTGGACTCAGCAGACAGTAATCACAGCAGCAGCAGCAAACACTTAAACAGCACCACTGTGTGTCAGCCACTATTCTAAGCACTTTATATCAATTAACTATTTTTTATAACAACCCTAAGGCATTGTTATCCTTATTTTTAAGGTAAGAATGGTGGGTGCACAGAGAGGTTTAGTAACTTACCCAAGGTCACCTAGCCAGCAAATAAGGTGGCCACAGTCTAAGTCTGGCCATCTGGCTCCAGAATCTGGGCTCTTAACCCGGATATTGATGTCTCAACAGCTAGAGTGTCTGCCCTCTTGGAGCTTAGATTCCAATGAAGCAGGAGGAGACAGACAAAACACAAATTTAAGTAGTTCTATCTCATGGATGCTCTCTTAAGTATCAGATGTTAAGTGCCTGGGGGAAAACCGAAGCCAGATAAAGGTGCCAGGGAAAGGTGTGAGTGGGTCATCTGGGGGTTTCCCTAATAAGACTTTTGAGCAAAGCACAAATGCAGGGAGTCTTGGGCGTGCTGGTAGAGTGAGCATGGCAGGGAGGTGAGCAGATGCAAAGTCCCAGAAGTGGGAGCAGGAGCCGGGGCAAGAGCAGGGCCTTTAAGGAACAGCACAGAAGGAGGTGATGTGTTAATGAGGGGTGCGGCTGGGACATTCGGCCTTTGAGCACTTTCTTCTGAATAAAAGGGGAGGCCACGGGGGAGGCCTGAGCAGGGCATCCTCTGACTTTGGTATTAACTGCAGTGACACATCTAGAATGGAAGAGGCTGTGAGCAGGGAAGGAAGAGGACTCATCGGGTGGTGAGGTGGTGGTAGTGGTATTGAGGCCAGAGATAGTGGTGGCTACGCTCCAAGTGTCTGCAGTGGGCGGGGGAGACGTGCTCTCAAGGTGGAGGAGCCTGTATTTGTGGTCGAAGCAGCATGACCGCCATTTATGGAGCACTTGCTCTGTGCACAGAAGGATGCTAAGTGTACTTCACACCTCCTTTCATTAAATCCTTCTAGCAACCATAGTGGATGCCTTCATCCCAGCGTTTTCTGCAGGGAGACTGAGTGACCTACAGCTCCTCTGTGCCCCCTTTTGCCCTTTCTGTTGTTGTCACATAATGGTGTACGTGCAAGAGCCACCACTCCCCAAAGCCACTGTGATGAAGAGAGTTTGTCCCATCCCACGCAGCCTCTCACATAGTCCACCCACCACAAAGCCCAGTCCCCACCCAGAGGGAAACATGATCACGGAGTCTCAGTTCTCACTCACCTGTTCATGTTTCCAAAGAGGATGCTGCTCAGAGGTGACAGGGGCTGGAGGGAGAGCAGGGAGGAAGAGAAGGCCCTAGCAAAGGTGGATGGGCAGGGTTTGGTGGGTGAGGGAGAGGGTAGAGTGCAGAGCATGCTGAGGCTGTAAGGTAGAAGGAAGTCCCTGTCCCCTGGAGTTCACCCTCTTTGGGGAAGCAGGGCACGAGCAGAGGAGAAAAGCCACAGCCCAGAGGAGCACACGCTCTCACCCCTGTGGATCTGCTGGCCCCAGCCTGTTCCAGCCTTGGTCCTTCT